CCTTTTATAGTGTTCAAGTATCCCCATATACACCCACTGTAGGCTCCTTGTTGTTTCAATCATTGAGTCTGATGGGGTTGTCATTCCTGACCTCCCTCTGATAATGTCAGTTGCCTTAAAAGCCATGCCAATCCACTGACTTTCAGGTCAGGAAAGTCAGAAGGTCTTATCTGCATACTGGTCTAGGTCAATGATTCTAAATATTGCAGCGAGATGGTGAGTATGAAAGCCAGGCAATAGCATTTTCAGAAAGAGGAATAATATGGCAGCCTCTGTGTTTTTCTCATGATAGGTTTCCTGTGAGGCACGATGAATGCACGTCACAGTTTTAGCAAAGTTGGAGTGTTTGCTGAATAGCATTAGCCGCTTGTGGTCTGGAGTATCCCTTCATTTAAAGTGTATTTAAATTCTAACAATGAACTTCTATTTTCTCCCTTTTGATCTGTTAAGTAAACATTAAAAGTGTTTTGTTATACCTGTTAGTCCTGCCAGAAATCCAGTGCTGCCCTGTCCACACTGCAATGTTATCTCAAGCAGTCTTATAAGCGCTGCCCAGTTCTTTCTGTGAACTACTGAACATGGCTCTCTTTCTGTTATGTAGTATAGGATGGGAGATATCTTCTGTAGTCCTTACACACTTCCTTACCTGAGGGGGACAACATTGTTCCTCATTAGATACAGTAAAATGAGTGAGTGTTGTCAGCTTAGGGCAGGAAGTGTGTTACTGGCTGGATCACCAGGCGAAAATAAAGGAAAGAGGCCTGAAAAACCAGAAATGGAGTGCAGCCAACACCTCTAAGGACTGGTAAGATGCAATCTAATACATTTCTGGTCTTGGATTTAGATAGAGTTTATGTTTGCGCCAGGCTGCAGTTACTGGACAGCAGAGCTCAGGAGCCAACTAACATTTGGCGTACCTGCCAAGCCTTTCAGAATTCAGTACTGATTCTCTAATATACATTATAAGATATTTAAAGCAGAATGCCAGGAAAATCTTAAACCTTGCAATGGAGCAATCCCCCCCCGCAAGGGTTAAGTGCTCAATTTGTCTAGGGCAGGGGTCAGCAACCTGCGGCTCTGGAGCCGCATGTGGCTCTTTCATCCCTCTGCTGCGGCTCCCTGTTCAGGGGCTCACCTCCTCTCCTGGCCGCATCCATAGTAACAGGCGGTAGGAGAGGAGAAGTGTGTGTCACATGCCCCAACCCTTGCAGTGCACACCGTCTGGCTGGGATGCAGGCTGTGAGGCTTGGCAGGTGAGTCCGAATGAGGAGGGGGGGGGAGTGGTACAGGTGTAACTGCACACAGTGTGTGCTGTTTTTTCATTTAATTAGTAAAGTGGATTATAATGGGGAACATTACACTGTAATGTTGCCTAGTATAATCAATTTCTAGGATTAAATGATTAGACAGAGCCGCTGTTCTATCAAAGTTTGTGACTGGTGACGTGTTCACACATTTCAATATAATCCCGCCCAGTTTTTTGACGATGGAATGTGTGACCGCCAATAGGTGAAGCATTCCAACGCTTTCTCAGCTGTTCCAGGGCAGATCGGCATCACAGATGTATGTGCAGGAGAACCGATCTGCCCTGGAACAGCTGATCGGTCCTGAAATGTCACTTCTATCCGACTTTGTGGAATGGGAAATCGCACTCACAGAGTCGGAAAGAAGTGATATTTCAGGACCGAACAGCTGTTCCAGGGCAGATCAGTTCTCTTGCACATACATCTGTGATGCCAATCTGCCCTGGAACAGCTGACAAAGCGTTGGAATGCTTCACCTATTGGCGGTCATACATTCCACCGCCAAAAAACTGGGTCGGATTACATTGAAATGTGTGACCATGTGACCGGTCACACATTGTAACCTAGTCACAAACTTTGATAGAACACCGCCATCAGGGTAGTACGGCCGGTATCCATGTGAGGGGTCTGGGCAGCCAGGGGGGCCTCTTACATGGGTATCAGCTGTACCAGGGGCGGCATGGCAGAGGTGACAGGGGAGGGAATGGAGGAGGCCGGGCCCCAGCAGCAGCAGGTAAGAGGAGTTGGGAGGAGGTAAAGGGAAAGGGACCCCGGTGACCAGCCCACCTCAGACCCAGCTTATATATAACGTGTTATCTTCATTTTAGATGTCAAAAGGGTTTTGTGGCTCCCGGAGTTTTCTTTTCTGTGGGAAACGGTCCAAATGGCTCTTTGAGTGTTTAAGGTTGCTGACCCCTGGTCTAGGGAGCTAAAAAAAAAAAAGTTATACTCTCCTGAACCAGGATACCAGCTCCCTTTAGCCTCACTCCCCCTCTGCTCCAGTGGTATAATGTCCTATGAGTCATTACATTGTATACAGTGTATAGAACATGAGGACGCTGCATTCTATCACTGGAGCAAAGGAGGAGACAGTCTGAAGGGAGCGGTCTAGGAGCCAGTCGTGTTCACGGTTCGGGTGAGTATATCTTTTTTTTCCAGCTCCCTAGACAAAACAAGCACTTAACCCTTGCAGGGCAGGGGTATCCCCACTGCAATGGTTTGATTTGCCCAGAGTTCTTCTTTAATCCTGATCTGCATAGAACAAGCTGAAAGCGTATGTGCTGACTCCATTGGATGTTATTACGTTGCATCTACTGCTGTCCATGGTGCTGAAATGATTTACAAACGGTAAAATACAAGATTAATGTTTTGGGGGTTTTTTTTTGCTGGATAGTAAGAGCTAATAAAATCCAGGTGGCACCCTGATAATATAAGCATCTGTTCATAAATAAGCATCACAGCGAGACGTGTAATAAAGCTGCATTCCTGTGTGCGAAGCACTTGATGGAAACTGCCTGCAGGTTATATTTAAAGGAAACCTGTGCTGAGAGAAATATAAAGACAGCTATTGCTCTCCTTCTAAAAAAGCGTGTTCCATGACTGCCTCTAACTTTTTATATGTTTCTTTAAAACCCTTTTGGAGTCACTGACCCATAGGAAGCACGCAACAAGTGAAATCAAAGCAGCTGATGTGGAAATGTGTTTATTGTTAGGGACTCGGACAGTATCCGTGTGACAGTCACGCAGCTAGCACAGGGTTAGACAACCTCGGCACTCCAGCTGTGGTGAAACTACAAATGCCATCATGTCTCTGCCTTTGGGAGTCATGCCTGTGGCTGTCAGAGTCTTGCAGTGCCCCATGGGACTTGTAGTTCTACAACAGCTGGGGTGCCGAGGTTGCCTAACCCTGAGCTAGCATTTTCAGTAGGAGGCCAGCAATAGCAGCCTCCATATTTCTGTCTATCACTCCGGGGCAGTGACATCACCTGCAGTAAAGGTACCGTATATGAACTTGGCTTGACTTTCCCAGAGCTAGTGCAGAGCCTGTGAGTAAAGAACGGCAGTTTCCGGATGCTCCTGTATTTAATTTGGTGACAAAGTCCCTTTAAGTCATTCACTAAGAAAGATGCTCAGTTTTATTAAGAAATATTTTATTCTCATATCCCATAGATTCTCATACACGTATCTCATACGCCAGTTCTTGGTGAGCAATAGTGAGCATGTTTTAGTTTTTCTCGTGACGTTCGGTTGAGAGACAGAGTTAAATACAGGGAACAGAGGGGCTTGTGCTCGGCAGTCAGGCAGTGTGGAAGGAGAGGGGAAGGGGTGAGGGGAGATGACGCATCTCAGCCAGGATCCTCCCCGCTCCATCCATTCACTGCAGTAGGATCATTCCACCATCCCACCTTGACTGTGCACCGAGAGGGACCTGCTGCCAGTGAGCATGTGTCAGGATAGCTAGGGCCCCGCGTTCGGTGCCTGGGCCAGCTGAAGGCTCTTTGCTGGGGGGGATCAGGCAGCCCACCCCTCACAGGGACAGCAAATCTCACTGCACCAAACAGCATTGCAGGACACAGCGCACTGACAGCAGCTTCTGCAGGCAGCACAGCACCATCTCTTGCAGTCTCCTGTTTATTCCTTTCCACTCGACCGCTCTCCCTGTACTCTTCCATCTCACGCTCTCACCCGCCTATCTCTCAATCATCTCAATCACAGTCTCTCTGCATTCTTTTACATGTATTTCTGTCTTTCTCATCTGTTCTTGATAACATTTCTGTTACCTGTGTGTCTCTTCTCAACCTTCCTGGTCTTGTTCCCCTCTCTTTTCTGTCTTTCTTGTAAATGACTTCATTAGTCTCACCGGTCATTCTTTCTCCTCATTGATTCTTGATGTCATTGCTCATACCTGGCTCTGTTACCTGGCTGTCATTTGTCTTTCCTGGTCTCTCTCACCTGTCTGCCTCGTTCTCATGATAGTGTCTTTGTAGTATACCTCTCATCCTTGTCTCCAGTGTGCTAACAATACCATCCATTGCTCTTGCATGCTTGATTCCTTAGAAATTGCTCTGGTCAGTATTCTGCCTCGGTACCTGTCTGTCTCTATATGGAGTCCTGACCTTACCTTTGTCACCTCTGCTCTGTAGTACGCAATACATATTTTTCCCTTTGCTGTATCTTATACTCGGCCTGTACTGCATGTCTCTCATTCAACTACTTCCTTACGGACTTCCCTGTGTCTATCTCCTGATGCTTGCTGTCACTCTGCTTTCTCATGACTACTAGTTGGGCTCTTCCTCTGTCTCTTACTATTGCTCACTCACTCTACTAATGACTGTCCCTTACTCTCTCTCCTGTCTATCGCTTTTCAACCCTGCTGTCTCTTTCCTGCCTCTCATTCCCCCAGACTTTACAGTTCCTCAGTTCATTCAGACTTTTGGTTGTGTACTTTTCTTGGTTGCCCTCACAATTTTTCCTCTCAGCCTCAGATCATTTTTGGCTCATCCATCTTCCAAAGGGTCCCATCCTCTTTTTAAGACGTTTACATTATTATGACTCTGGAGTATAGTGGGACATTGTTTCCCGCCTTTTTCGCTATCCACGTTGACATCAAATAATGCAGCCAGGGCTGCTGAAGTGCCCATTTTGGCCTACAAATATGGACTCCTCCACTCTCACCCTCGTCTCTGTCCTCCACAGCTGGATGCCTGGGTCAGTGAGAAGACACTGATGGCTCGGGATAACTCGCGGGACGTGACGCAGAAACTCCACAAAAAATGGCTCAAGCACCAGGCGTTTATGGCTGAACTTACGCAGAACAAGGGCTGGCTTGACAAAATTGAAAAGGTAAGACATCTTTTTTCACATTGTACTTTGGGGCCTTTTGCCCACTGATGGCAACTCTTAAGAGACATACAACTATTATTGAATAACATGGTACACGCATATTGACCCATTGCAATTACATCACTGCTTTTACCAGCACTGGGTGATCAGAACAATTAAAATGCTGCTTTGTTTGCTTTATGTTTCCGTTTTTTTTGGGGGGGGGGGGCTGTAAAAAAAAGTTCATTGTATCTGAAAGAAAACTTTGCTAAACTTTTTAAAGATTAGTCTTCCCAAAACAGCCATTTCACCCACCAACTTTATATATCAATTGGGGACTGTGGTGATGAGATTTCTGCACCTAACCTACCCTCCTGGGATTTCTCACTTTTCCTGACAACTTTACATTTTTTTTACATGAGAATGCAGCAGAAAGAGTGAGACTTCCAGTAGAATCCCCAGGAAATTTTAGAAACAAATGGGTCAGCCCACACAAGTGAAATAATCAGATCTAGAGTAGACTAACCCTTTAGCAAAGTAGTGCAAAGGATGGTGGTGTGCCAATGACATCCCACCGTTCACGAGTTCAGATTGGTTAAATCATTGCAAAGAGATTGTTGACCGTCTGCTAAGAATTACAACACTTTGCATGTTGCTGTTCAGCTTAATAAATCAGCCCACGAATGTCCTCATTCTTCAGTCTGTTTAACATTACTTAGTTCCATTCATCTGTGCTGCAAATGTTCGGGACAGGTTTAGTCGAATTTCAGAATGCTAGAAATGACACTTATGGTTCACTTGGTGGCTCATCGTTAGTTTAAAGACTTTGACAACTTTTTTGGAGGAATGAAGGACAATATAGAAGTTATTTTATAACATTGCTTGTTTTACACAGGTCATCTCTCAAATGTGATGGGTTCTGTGTCTATTTATTATGGCGTTTGTGGCCACTAGAGGGACTTTTTTTTAGTCCAGTTAGCAATAGGCAGTTTATTGTGCACCTTTCATTTATATACCCCACTTGTATACCAAACCAATATTCAGGAGAACGCCGTATTTGAAATACTGGAGCCCTTTGTGATGGCTTGCCGCTGAATTGGGTGAATTGATTGACTGCATTTTCAAGATGGCTCTTCCGCCATGTGCATGCTGCGTGTGCTGTTTAATCAATATCAAAGCAAGCGTGAAGGGAAATTGTTATCGATACAGAATATCTGGTGCCTATGTGTTCCATTGAGCATCTTAGATTTATACACCTATAAAATAAATGATTGCCCCTAATGTCCCGTAAATGCCATTGCTTATTGTATATCGATAATCCTTTCTCTGTCAGCAATGTTACCTCAATGCTTTAGTCTATGATCAGCTGCATGTGTACCTTGCGGGTAACCAGATATGCATTCTCTGTTTTGTGGACTCACAACTGCATTGAAGATTCGGTTACATCCGCAACCACCACATTTCCTGTTCTGGACCCATTGCCATGCTGTCGCTTCAGTCCCTCGTTGCCTTTGACAGCAACGTGCTTGTCGGGTTAACATAAACTTGGCCCAGCACAGTATTCGGTGCCAGCTGTGCAGCAATGAGGCTGATTATAGCACTGCATGCCGTGGCGTATTATAAGACGCAGCACATTTTAAAAGACGATTGTAGTTGGGGCACCTGCATTGTAATTTCAGAGAGAAGCAGACCGATGTGCTCTGCAGATGTTTTGTGTTATGTACATGTGTTGGATAGAAACAAGATATTTTCATTTTGGATTACAACATATTTCACATTATGTCCAATTCATTCTCGTAATTTTGCTGCAGTGTAAGTATAGCGTTGCTATGTTGCTGTCAGGCATTTGTCCCCGTTCCAAGATGGCTGCTGGTGTGTACAGTGGAAGTTGCCATTATTAAAGAGCCAGTATAAAAAGCTGAACTCCAAGTAGATAATAAACACCATTCATTTTAATAGTATTTATTAATGAATATATATTTTTACTAGGGTTGCACAGATACCAAGTACAGTACTCGGTACAAGTACGAGTAAATGTACTGATACTTTTGAGCTCCAAGATTAGACTAGAGAAAAATTCAAAAATTAGGAGGCAGCTGTCATTTGTAAGGAGCACACGGAGCTCCTGGGATTATTACATCTCTGTTTTAATGTATGATTTTGTTTTTATAAATATAAATAAAGGGATGTACAGATACCAGTTTTGCGAGTACGAGTACTGGTACTTGCCGAGTACTTACAAGTACGAGTACTGATACATTTTTGTTTAGTGTCATGTGACAGTTTTTCTAAAACAATACAGACTAATGATTTCAGGACAGTGGTGGAGCGCCAGAGCCAGGTCCCAGCTGCAACCGCTGCAACCCTGGTAGTTCTCATGAAAATGCCAAGTATCGGGATTGGTACTCGAAAAGTATCTGTGCATCCCTAATTTTTACTATAACCTGGTATGCATACTTGAATATGTCTTTATATTGGCTTCCTGCCATCTCTTAAATGCCTGCACAGAATGACCTATTCATACTCTGTCATACACAGGGAGCTTGTTGACTAAAGAGGTGATAAGAATGGTCACCTTGGTGTGGCGATGCACCTTGTTTAGCCAGGATTGTGAAGGTCGTTCAGTAGTGGAGCTATATTGCTCACATGTGATATAAAATAGGGAAGTCAGACACCCGGCTGTGCTTTGCAGCAGGGGTATCAAGATCAAAAGACTCCTGGGGCTGAATGAGAAAAATCTTAAAAAGCAACTCCGGGGAAAATGATTAGCAACCCTTGCAGTGGGCTAACCCCGCTCTGAGGCTCTCAGGTGAGTATAACCTTCTTATTATCCTCCCTACACTAAAATGAGCCGTTAACCCTTGCAGTGTGGGGGTAACCCCACTTCAAGGATTCATAATAGTTTTCCCCAGAGTTCTGCTTTAACCCCTTCGTGACTGACGACGTACTAAGGTATAGCCAGCTATAGTCTTTGAAATAATCCGTGTGTGCCTGTGAAGTCCCTGGGATCCTAGGCTAGAGCTGCCCATTAGGCCTAGGTGTGCTTAACAGCAGGAACGGACAGGTTTTAATCCATTTCTGTAAGTTTAGAGTATATCAGTGTCCATTGCTTAGCCCCTAATGGAGGGGGATTCCTGACCCCTGAAACATGTTGGCTGTGCATATTTTCTTGTTGCCATTTGTGAAGCCAATAAAAGGTTTTTTTGTGGACTCTTGAGAAAATTACCTGGCGCTCTTTTTTAGTCTTTGTTCACATTGTGAAGAGCTGCCAGAACCGAGCCATCAGGCCCAAATATTGCTCCTTATGACTAGAGTAAGTTCATGGTCCAGCGCCTCATCCCCACTCAACATTTAATTCTTTTGTAGGACAGATATGAAGGCAGCTTTGTTTTAGGTCTAGAATCCTACGGTACCACGGGGACACATGATCCATCTAAAGCCTAACACAAGTACTTAGAACTACCACAATGTTACATTATTATTATAAAAGAGGACGGAACACATAGGCCCATTACAAGAGATAGCAATCCTAATACATGCCTCCTTCTGCTCTGTGTATACATATGAAGGTGGTGGAGCTGATGTACATATTGCACCACAAGAGATCACAGGGGATATGGCCTAGAAATAGACAAATAAAGATGGATAAAGTATCTGGACAATGTAACATACATGCGTACATTACAAGGACTTAAACTTAGTTATCTGTAAGCTAAGGTTTCTAATATTTAGAGACTATTTAATGACCAGAGTGTTACCAGTAGATTGGCACAAAACAAAATAAGTGCCTTTTATTTTGATCTTCACTGACTTTTTCATCTGGGAAGTAATTTTAATAAAGGACCTCAGACAAAAAAGTATCTGCTAGTGACTATATACAATATACAAGGACCATATTCAAAAGTATCTGCTAGTGACTATATACAATATACAAGGACCATATTCAAAAGTATCTGCTAGTGACTATATACAATATACAAGGACCATATTCAAAAGTATCTGCTAGTGACCTATATACAATATACAAGGACCATATTCAAAAGGATCTGCTAGTGACCTATATACAAGGACCATATACAAAAGGATCTGCTAGTGACTATATACAATATACAAGGACCATATACAAACGTATCTGCTAGTGACTATATACAATATACAAGGACCATATACAAAAGGATCTGCTAGTGCCTATATACAATATACAAGGACCATATACAAAAGGATCTGCTAGTGACTATATACCATATATAAGGGCCATATACAAAAGGATCTGCTAGTGACTGTATACATTATACAAGGACCATATACAAAAGGATCTGCTAGTGACTGTATACATTATACAAGGACCATATACAAAAGTATCTGTTAGTGACTGTATACAAACAAGGACCATATACAAAAGTATCTGCTAGTGACTATATACAATATACAAGGACCATATACAAAAGGATCTGCTAGTGACTATATACAATATACAAGGACCATATACAAAAGGATCTGCTAGTGACTATATACAATATACAAGGACCATATACAAAAGGATCTGCTAGTGACTATATACAATATACAAGG